TAAAAGTTTAAACTATTTTAAACTATTTAGGAGGAATTTCTTCACAGAAAGGGTGATTAGGTATAGGAATGGGCTGCTCAGGGAGGTGGTCGAGTCACCTGGAAGTGCATAAGGAAACACTGGATGTGGCACTCAGCACCATGATCCAGTTAACACTGTGGTGATGGCTCATAGCTTGGCTCAGTGATCTGAGGTCTTTTCCTGCACCTGGGGAGGAACAGCCCCAGGCACCTGCACAGGCTGGGGCCAGCCTGCTGGGAAGCAGCTTTGTGGAGAAGGACCCGGGGGTCCTGGTGGACAAGAAACTCTCCACGAGCCAGCAGTGTGTCCTTGTGGCCAAGGGGGCCACTGGGATCCTGGAAAGTACTGGGAACAGCAGGTCAGGGAGGGGATCCAGCCCCTCTGCTCAGCCCTGTGAGGCACATCTGGAGTGCTGTGTCCAGCTCTGGCTCCTCAGCACAGCAGGGACAGGAGCTCCTGGAGCGGGGCCAGCGGAGGCTGCGGAGCTGAGGAAGGGCCTGGAGCATCTCCGTGCCCAGGAAAGGCTGAGGGAGCTGGGGCTGCTCAGCCTGGAGAGGAGCCCCAGCTGAGAGGGGCCCTCAGCCCTGGGTGTCCCTGTGTGCAGGGAGGGGCAGAGCAGGAGCCAGGCTCTGCTCCCTGGGCCCAGCAACGGCACCAGAGCCACGGGCAGGGACTGATGCCCAGGAAGTTCCAGCTGGACAGGAGGAAGAAATTCTTTCCTGTGCAGTGACTGAGCCCTAAAAAGATTGTCCAGAGAGGGTGTAGAGTCTCCCTCACTGGAGACATTCCAGAACCGTCTGGACGCAATCCCGTGCGATGTGCTCTGGGATGGCCCTGCCGGAGCTGGGAGCTTAGACCAGCTGCAGCCCCTGGTCTCCCCCAGCCCGCTCCGTGTGCTGGGATCCCGGGGCTGTGCGAACACGCCAGGAATTCCATTCCGTTCCATTCCTTTCCATTCCGTTCCATTCGGCTCTGTTGCACGTCGTTCCGTTCCATTCCCCGCCCCTCAGCGCTCCCGCCGCCGCCCGGCGCGTGCGCAGCGCGGGAACGCCGCAAGTCGCGCGAGGCGGCGCGGCGGGTGTGTGCCGGGGCCGTGGGTCCCGGCAAGGCCCGCAGCCCCGGAGTGCTGCCGGCGGCCGCCCCTGGCGCGGGGAAGCCGGAGAGGGAGGCAGATGGCACCGCTGCCGCTTCTCCATCGTGTTCTGCGCTCTTTAGCGAAACGCAGCGTTTAGGCAGTTACCGCTCGCTTTCTGGAGCTTTACTATCTCGGGTTTTAACCTTGAGAGCCGAATAGTGACATCTGAACAAATAATAACGTTTTCCGGATCTGGTGGTGTTTGTCTAGGCACAGTACCGGGGAACTTTATGCATCCTTGTCTGGGAGATTTTTCAGTTGTTGTAAATGCCCTGTGTTGGCAGCTTTACTGACCTCATTTCCATTGCTCTCACGGGGAAAAGGAAAGTTTTCCATGTGTGAGGTGCTCATCAGCCTGGTGTGGCCCGTGGAAAGCTGCTCCGACCGGATCCAGGAGGTGTCTGCTTCTGGCTTTGTATCTTCTCTGATGGTGTTTAAAATACCTGTGTGGCTTGTTTCCTTCAGAGCAAAGTGATCACTCAAGCCTTGGAGAGAGGCTTGTCCTGCGTCATAAAAGAGAACTGGTGTAATTATGACTTCTTTTAGTGGTAGCTGTGACTGACTTACTCAGCTGCTTTAACATCTAGAATGAATACATTGCAGTTTTGTGCCTAGATGTGTCATGGGAGCTGCAGTTCTCGTGTCTGGGCTGTTCTCTGCACTCAGGAATGCTTGCATCAGATGCTGTCTGACTCGGGTGATCGCAGGGCCATGGAGCAGTTCATGGAGTGTCCTGCTGTGAATTTAGTTTGTATCAGTAAAACTGGTTTTCTTGCCTGTGGATTGATTTGACATTGAGGTGATTCCTGGGATCTGTAGTGAATGGGCTGCTTTATGTGCCAGAGAATAAAGATGATGGCAGATAACACAGTGGAGCTGGCTCTGTTCTTCAGGCTGTGTGCAGTGAGTGCAGGTGCCTTCCAGCACTCTGGTCTCTGATTACTGGGAGCCAAATACTTTGATATTGGTGTTAAGTTGGTGAAACTTTTTAAAGCCTGTGAAGTCGAGGAGGATGAAGACATATGAAGACAAATTAACACTGGAAACTGGGATAGGAGGTAAGAAGTTCCTTGTGTTGAGCTGTAGCTTAAAGTTTTCAGAGTTGTGTATGAATGAAACTCTTTGCTGGGAACATCCCTGAGTGCTGCCCAGAGCTGGGGCACAGCAGGGGCAGCACAGGCCCAGTTGTGGGGAGAAGTGGTTGTTAATGTCTGTTCAGTTTGTTCAAAACCCTACAAAGTACATAATCCTGCTGAAGATCTAAAAGTTCTTTGAACCCTGCAGTTTTGTGGGGCTTCAGGCAATAATATTAGAGACTGCTGTGTTTTGACAAATTTAAGTGCTGCTTGGTCTTAGTAATTTTGCCCCTCACCCTGGACAGAAGGCAGTGTAGTGTAAGGACACCTGAACTGACTTGATCAGGGCAGGGGTGATGTCTGTCTCTTAGACATGCCTATGTTTATTCAAACTAAGGAAATGGGATTTATTTGTGCCTTCTGTTGGAATCCCTGCCATTTGCCACTGTCACAGCAGTTCAGAGGATCATTGGCTTCAGTCTTGAGTTGCATTTGGTCTATGAAACCTTGATTCTGTTTCCTCTCTCTGTTTTTTCACTTGCTAATTTTCTGTAAGTTGGGATTTGGACTGTGTAGGCACTTGAAGTAAGGAGCAGGTATATGGAGATGGATGTGAGAAGGAACCATGTGGTATACAGAGGAGAAAACCCATATGGGAGTTCGGCTCTGAGAGAAGAAACAGGACAGGAATAATAGTTTTTTCACACAGGAAAAGCATCCAGGTTTGTTGTGTCTGTGCTGGGGGCTGAGGTTCCTTCAGTAGAAAACCTGCAACTTTGTAGTTTGTCAGCACTAAATGGTGTTATAAAGTTCAGACTAAGCCAGTGTGCTGAGCAGAGAAAAGGAATAAAGAAGGTTTGGGAACACCTGTCTCAGAAAGCCAGAACATGACCAGCTGGGTTATCAGGCTGGTTCATTTATGTCATGACTTGTTAAAGCAAATGTGACCTAAGGCTCCTGCTGAGTGCTTATTGAAGCCCTTGGTGAGTAAAACATTTCAGGCTTAGGCCTCCTCCTCCTCCTCAGGTTGTGGAGCGTGCCATGTTCTGAGTAGGTGCTGGGTGTGCAGAAGCCTGGCTTGCCCTGCCTGGCTGGGGTGGCCCTGCTCAAGGCCACGTGGGTTTGGTGCTGAAAACCAATCTCCTGCATCCAGGAGCTGTCTTGGTGTGTTCAGCCCGGTGTGGTTAGGCTGCAGACACTCTGTCTCTGTAGACACAAGAGATGCTTTATGGTGGTTCAGATGTGTTTTCCCTCAGAAAAAGAGTGATTTGGGGTGGGTGGGCTGGTTACTTCTTAGAAGCAGTTACATCTGATTGAGGCATGATCTTAGGTTTGTTTCACAAACAATAAAAAACTGTTCAGAGTCTTGCAGAGCATCTTCATGGAAATGAGTCAGCCACTTGAGCTGGATCCCAAGGCTGTGCACTGGGCCCATGTAGGCAGCTCTCCTGCTGTCCCAGCAGGCTGGGGAGGTCCAGGAGGAAGCAGACGTGGAACCAGTTGGACATGCTGAGATTTCTGTGCGTTGCAGCAGCATGATTCACACCACTATCTATGGAAGCAGCAGAGAAAAAGCCCTCTGGCTTCCTTTTGAAGATCATTCCAACACAGTGTGTGCAACTAAAGACCCACTTCAGCAGCTTGAAAGCATCAGGGGCCCCCGTGTATGTGCAGGCTTTGGGGATGTTGTGCTTCAGACACCCACAGGAGCAGTTTGATGCCTTCAGTAGAGCCTGTATGAAACATGTATGCTTCAGAAAATGGGAGGAATACCACAAGAACAGGATGTGTAGGAGAATAATAAGTGCAAGGAAAGGTTGTGTTGTGGGGAGAGGGAAACCACCAGACTCCTGGGGGTAACTGGGCAACAAGTTGGAAAGCTGCTCCTTGGTGAAGTGCTGGCTCTTTCCTGAGCGAGGGTGTTCATGATGGTGAAGTACAGCTCTGTGAGAACATTTCTTCCATTACTGGATAAGGAACATGGGAGAAAATGTGTAAAAGGGTTGTATTTAATATAAACTGTGGTGTGACAGTCCAGGCAGATGTGTAACAAAGTGACCAACAGCTAGGATGTCAGCTTGTGTCTGAAGTGAAACAAAAAGCTTTCATGTGTTGGAATGAATCGCTCAGGTCTGCAGATGATGAATAAGTCAAAAGTGAGTCTGGGGTTAGTGCCTTCTTCACAGCCAGACAAGGTGAATTAAGCTGCTTTGCTGGCTAAGGAGCTCATTAACAGCTTTTAATCACTTGGTGTCTGAGGTTCAGTTTCTCAGTCTGGGGAGGGAGAAGGATGAGACCTTTGCCATTTCAGTGTTCAGAGCTGATGCAGGTCTTGCTGTATCACCAGCCCCTTCTAGGTTTCCTCCTCATCCACAGTGTTCTTGTCAAGAGAGTGCTAGCAAATCTTGCCTTGAATAAATCTGGGAATCAATATGTCTCCCAAGTGGAAGTGATATGAGATCAGACCATGTGCTTTGGTGGGGTTAGATTGTCTTCTGTGTTGAATGGTGCTGTATTACTGCAAAATTGGAGTCCATAATGGTCATAAAATAGAGATGGTAGCCAGTCTGTCAGAGAGCCACAGCTTTAACATATTTTCAGCTGCACTAATAAATAGGGGACAGGAAACTTGGACTACAGGAAAAGTAGCCGGTGCTGTGAACTCATTTTTTCCCTTGTAATTGACACAGTTGAGGTTGAAGCCCAGGAGCAGTTTGGGAAAAGTTTCAAATAATAAATAGGGGATGATTATTGAGCTGCTAACAAGCTCTTGACTTTTACAGATGATTTTCGATCCTACTATGAGCAAGAAGAAGAAGAAAAAGAAGAAGCCCTTCATGCTGGATGAGGAAGGAGGAGGAGACACACAAACAGAAGAGACTCAGCAATCAGAAACAAAGGAAGTTGAACCAGAGCCAACAGAAGACAAAGATGTTGAAGCAGATGAAGAAGACAGCAGGAAGAAAGGTAAAGTGAATCCATGTAGATAACTCTCAAAGGTGCTGTTTTGAGACTACAAGCCCAGTTTCAAGAATTTGGCATCCCAGAGTACAACACCAGAGCCTTGGTGTGCTCAGAGGTTCGTGAGTGATCTCTGCTGCCTGTTTGGAGGGCAGCTTGCCCTCTTGCTTGGAATCACATTCACGGACACCACCAAGCCCCCAGGGGTTTATGTAATTTCCAGTTTTCTAACTCAAACAGTCATTTATGTGAGGCACTGAGAGTCTCTAAAATAGTGTGAAGTTTTAAATCTTCCACGTGCAGCTGTTGCAATAATTCCAAATTATGGCTCGTTTTCATTTCAACAACTAAGCAATAGTGTGAATAACAGAAACATGGTTAAAGGAGTTCCTAGTTTTTGGACAATTCTGAATGTGATAACCAGAGTGTTCTTTGGAATCTTTCAAGAAGTGTGTGATTGTGTATAAAATCTTGCTTTTGAAATTGAGGCCAATGTAATTTCAGGATTACCTAATTCAGAGTGCCATTAACTTAAATCCAGTTTGTTGATAAAGTTGGCTCCTGCTGCAGACCAAAGAAACTGTATCTTTCTCCTGCACATGTAATTTTTTTGTCCAAGCATCTCTAATGACAGAAGTGACTAATTTATCTTGTACAGCAGAAACAAAGATTAAACATTTAAAGAATCAAAAGACACAGTTAGAAGGTGCAGAAACTAAAACAGTATTTTGGGGCAGGGGGAGTGATCTCTTCAAACCTGAAGGATATCCACAGGGGTTACAGATCATTGCTTATATCTTACTGTGATGTTTTAAAGATTTGGATGTAAATGAGAAACCTTAATGTCTGAACTGTTTCTACAGTTATACTTCTTTAGGCAATCCTTTGGTTTTGTTTTTTAGATACAACAGATGACTTGGATGATTTAAACTTCTTCAATCAAAAGAAAAAGAAGAAAAAAACAAAAAAGATATTTGATATAGATGAAGCAGAAGAAGGTGTAAAGGTTTGTTTACACCATTGTTTACATAAGTTGACTATGGCTGAAAACTCTCTTTCTTCCATTTTCTTGAGATTGGCAGTGCAGGAGTTGTCTCAAGTCTGTCATTGTGTCTTGGTGCAGTTCATAACTAAACTTTACATGCCTTTCATTTTTTTTTGATGAACATGTTGCTCCTGCCTGGGCTTTTTGTCCAGAAGTGGAAAAACCTGCCTGCTCTGCACAAAGAGCAAGTAATTCACCAGTCTGTAGGAAGGGCTGATTAACCTTCAGGTTAATTGTCTTTTGGGGTTAGAGAGATAACTGGATGTCACACACAGAACAGTCCTCTAAAGGCCAGCACTTCAAATAAAGTGCATATATCTGCCAAGAAATCTGTTTTCACTCTGGTGTTTTCTTTAAAAAGGATTGGCTACTGTGCTGTGTTCCAGAAGGTGTACAAGATATTTTTACTCTTCTCAAGTTTTATTCCAAGTAGTGTTTTTGTATCACATGTCAGTGTAACTGGCAAGCCCAGAGAGCAAGAGGACAGAGAAATGTTATGTTATGCATAAACCTCCTTTTCAGATTCTGCCTTTTGGGGAAGAATATGTTCCTCTGATCTGCCTCAGGGGACAAAATACTTGCTCTGTGTTCTGTCAGTGTGCACAACTGTGATAACAAATGAGAGTAGCACAGCTTTGCTTTCCCTTACCTCTGCCATGAGGGGTGTTTTGTTCCCTCCTGTCCTCAGATGACTGCTGCCTTTAAGTGCAGTCTGACCTTGTTCCTGGCTAGCCAGAAGTTAAGCCAGAAGGTGCAAATCTGGCCCTGCTTATGGCAGTAGTGCAGGGTATAAGGCTCTCTTGAACATTCTGAAATTCCATTCTTACCTGTTGGGTTTCGGGGCTGTGGTGTTTGTCACCAGTATTCACCTGTGCAGCTGGTGTTATTTCTGGTGCTATGGAGGGCTGTGGTTAACATGGATAAACTACAGCCTTACTTTTTGCAGGAACTGAAAATTGAAGGAGATGTGCCAGAGACAGTAGAACCTGAAGATGACCTTGATATCATGCTGGGCAATAAAAAGAAGAAAAAGAAGAATGTGAAGTTTCCAGATGAAGATGAGATAATGGAGAAGGATGAAGGTACGAGTATAACCTTGCTCAGTGACATGTTGAAAGTGAAACGTAGTCCACCTTGTATGTAAATAAGTTCCGTTCAAATGCCTTTTTTGTTCCAGAATTTATCAGAAAAATGTTCTGTAAAAGCACTACATAAATGTCCCATGAGTGCTGGTGACCCTTTTTGACAGAGAAGACTTGAGTTCACATCTTAGTGAAATTTCTCCTGTGTACCTTTTAGAAATCTTGTAAGCATGAGGTTAAAGAACGTTTCTTAATTAATCCCCAAAAATTTTCTTTACAGCATTTGAGGATGAAGATAGCAAAAAAGATGATGGGATTTCTTTTAGCCTTCAGTCAGGACCTGCGTGGGCAGGCTCAGAAAGGGACTACACATATGATGAGGTAATGTTCCAGAGACTTCTAAAACGTATTTTCCATATTCATTTGTATCAGTAGAGTGTTATGCTCATATTTCCTATTTCTAACTTCAGAGTGAAGGACTTGCAGTCAGTAGCTCATGAGCAGAAGCTAACAAGGCATGTTTTCTATGACAGTAATTTTCACAGGGGGCAATATTTGTCTAGCTCAAACACCTCTGCCATGGGCAGAGGAAACCCTTGGGGAAGCAGTGTTGGGATTTTGCATTTATCAGAACACTTTAAATGCGTTCTGAGCAGGTGGGGAAATGCTCTTAGGCAGAGCTAGTCTGATATTCACTGTGAATGCTGTGGCTGTTAGAGGTGAGGTGCAGTGAGGACTGGCAGGTGCTCATGTGGCTGTGAATCCCTTCTTTGCAGTTGCTCAATAGAGTTTTTAACATCATGCGGGAGAAGAACCCGGACATGGTGGCCGGAGAGAAGCGGAAATTTGTCATGAAGCCCCCGCAGGTTGTGAGAGTAGGGACCAAGAAAACGTCTTTTGTCAACTTCACAGATATCTGCAAATTGTAAGTTTCCAGTTTGGATTTCCCAGGAATAGCAGATGGGTGCACTGCTCTATTTCCTGTAGAGTTTTCTGGCAAGTGGCTTTGGCAAACCAGGAGTGGAAGCTATTTCAGTCAGAGAGCTCATTACATTTCTCTGTGAGAAGATATTTCTGAACATGATTTATTGAGATAATTTCTAATTTTATACTTAAATTACGAAAATGGTACATGGGCTGAAACTTGCTGAGTTCATTGGGTTCTAGAAAGTTGGGTCACCAGTGACATTTATGTGCAAGCCTTGAGGAAAAGGATGGGAAAAGTTCTTTCTAAATTGAGCTGAGTACAAATACTGTTCTCATGGTAAATGAGATGGACTCCAGTAGTGTTATCCCACTGTTTCCTGCAGTGGTATCTGTGTCTTAATTATGTCATGTGAAGGCAGGTCTGTTCTTTTTGAGCACTTCTGGGAATGCAGATCTGATGGGTATCAAAAGTGTGCCAGAAGACAGGCCTGGTGAAACCCTGCTGAGGATCTGGATGGTGCACTAAGGGGCGTTTTTAATGGTAGTACTAATGTTTCTTCAGGGGATGGGTCAGTAAGAATGAAAAATCTTTAATGGAAAACTTTTTTTTCACTAGTTGATGTAATTTTGAGCTGGGGACAGTGGGAGGTTTTCTTGTGTCCTCATTAATTGTGTGTGTGCTCTTTGGTGCAGACCCCTGGCACTGCTCCCTTTGAAACTTTCTGACTTAAGTTGGATTTACCCTGCCAGACTTGTATAAATACCAAATTTCTCTGAAGGGGGAAGGTTAAACATTTCCTTCCTTTATTTTTAGATTACATCGTCAGCCAAAACATCTCCTGGCATTTTTGTTGGCAGAATTGGGTACAAGGTAAGGCTGCTGGGCTGTGTGTGTCCTTAGGATTGATATTGGTCAAATGTAACATTTTTGGGGTTAGATCTGTATAGATGTGCTGGACATGAGGCTTTTGTTCCCTGCACTTCAGTGCTGTGCTGGGTGATTGAGGAGAGACCATTTTAGTGAGGAGGTACAGAGGGAAACTCCAAGTCCAAGGGAATGGTCTTGTTTATTCCTCTGAGACGGACAGGTGAGGGTTGTGCCTGGGCAAAACTTCCTGTAGGAAGTAGCTCTTAAGTACCTCAGAATTTTGCATCATTTTGTCCCTACAACACAATTCTGGCTGTGCTCTTCTTGAAGAATATATCCTTGTCTTGCTTCATGTTCCTGATTTGTTTTAATGCTTCACACCTGCAAATCAAATAATTAATTTTCTCTTTTCAATTAGTGGTTCAATAGATGGTAACAACCAACTGGTAATCAAAGGAAGATTCCAGCAAAAACAGATAGAAAATGTCTTGAGAAGATATATCAGTAAGTAGAACTCCCTTTCCCCCTGCAGATTTCTCTCAGGCCCCTTGTGATGCCCATGGGCTCATGTATGGCCCAGGTGTGTGCCCACCATGGAGGAGCCACAACTGTCCTTGTCATGGAATAATGCAAATACAGGTGGTTCTGCCCTGCACTAAAGCATGCCAAGGAAAACAGCATTTGAGAACTGCTTGTTTTCATCTGAGCCTCATATCTTGGCTTTGATGAGGACTGTGGAAAACAATACTAATTGTTGATTTTACAGTCTGTGGTACCCTGTGAGTTGACAGATGCAGTGTTAAAATACGTTCTGTTCAAATGCCTTTGTTGTTCCAAAATTTATCAGAAAAATGTTCTGTAAAAGCACTATATAGATTTCCCATGAGTGCTGGTGTCAGTTTTTGACAAACAGAGAAGACTAAGAGTCCACATCTTAGTGGAATTTTCTCCTGTGTACCTTTTAGAAATCATGTAAGCACGAGGTTAAAGAATGTTTCTTAATCAATCCCCAAAAGCTTTTTGTGCCACAGCTGGTCAGAGGACTCAGATTGTGTCACAAAGCTCCTGCTTTAGTGCTCTGTCAGTACCAGAGCTGCTGAGACCTCAGCAGGGAGCAGCAGTGGGAAATCTGCACCGGTTATTAACGTGAACACGGTGTCAGTGCACCATGTGCCACACAGAAGCTCCTCTTGGTTAACCGGGGGCGAGTTTAGTGTTCCCAGGCAGCCCCTGTGAGCTGGTGGGTGTGTTTGAGCAGCAGCAGCAGCAGGTTAATGCCCTTTGTTCCCTGCAGAGGAGTACGTCACCTGCCACACGTGCCGCTCCCCCGACACCATCCTGCAGAAGGACACGCGGTTATACTTCCTGCAGTGCGAGACCTGCCACTCCCGCTGCTCCGTGGCCAGCATCAAAACAGGCTTCCAGGCTGTCACAGGCAAGAGAGCACAGCTCCGTGCCAAAGCTAACTAGGTTTGCTAACCAACGCTGGAGCTGGCAAAGTGTTCTGGGGAGATGGGACTGGACAGGTTTGCCATCGGAGTGGATTTACCATTGTATTAAAGCGAGGTTGTAAAAACGACAAGAAATTTGGCTTTTGATTGATTGGTCTGTGAAATCCTTGCAAGATGCAGATCCTCAAGCTGTTCACGTACATTTGCTCATTGAATATATTTTACCAACTGTAAGGAGCGTGGTGGGAAAGGAGGTGCTTTTTAATCCGTTCAGACTTCTGTAAAACACGAGATAAATTAAAGATACTATAACAGTGAGTGTCTTGGATTTGGATTTTTCCTTCAGTTTCCTCTTCAAACTCTGGTGGGAATGGTTGGTGTGTTCTTCTGCAGATCATGTCACTGAGCTATGTCCAAGACCCAGAATGAAATTTTAAGATAAAGGTTATTTTGCTTTTACATAACAGGCTTATTTTAGTTATGCTGTCATGAAACAGAGAAACCAGTCACAGAGTCCCAGGGCTGACAGGCCAACATGAGCCCTGCTCCTGCTTGTACAGCCATGGGTGCCTCGTGCACAGGCTTAATTAGGCAAAAATAGCTCTGAGACAGTTCAGACACCAGATTGGTGCTGAATCTTAACACAGAATCAATAAACTGTACTGTAAGTTTTCATAGTGTCATAGTACTAAATTTTGCAATTTCTAATAGAGTTTATATTTCTGAAGTCCTGCACTCTTCATCACTTTAAAAAGAATCTAAATGCAGCAAAAAACAAAAAAGTAATAGGTCTCATTGTCATTGTATGGTGGTTGCAACACAATTCTATAAATCCTGAATTTGCAGGAGACACTGCCAAGTAATTTGGGTTCCAAATTAACTCTTTTTGCTTCAGGATCTTCCCATGCCCTTCCTCTGCTGGCAGTGTCTGACCTCGAGGGGACACCTGGTGTTGTCCTCGCTGGGTTTTGTGTAGAAGTTCTTCCAGCTGGGAATGCAGATGGGGAGTGAAGGTCCCCCCTGGGTTGCAGAAGTGGGGACAGTTGTCACTTGGTTGCCAAAATGTCCCAGGGGGAGGGAAAGGTGCAGCAGCTCAGGGCCCCGGGCACCACCCCTGCAGGTCAGGGGAGCAGCCTCCTCCCCAGGGGAGCTGGTCCTTCTGAAGGCAATACAGCAAACACCACAACTTGAAGGGTTTCTACTGAGTTTTAACCTTTGTATGTTAACACAGAGCACGGTATTGCTGGGGAGTCACTCACTTGCTATTTGAAAACTTTGACAGTGCTGTAAGGTGAAAAATCAAGGTTTTGTGGTTGGTTTCTCAAAAGCATTTTGAATTTCAAGTGAGCTATAACAATGTTGGATGTATCTTAAAGTGAATAAAGCCAGGATCAGTGCCTCTTGTAACATTATTGTTGTATTCTTGTTTCTTCCTCTAGCAAAGAGTCTCCTGTTGGGAGTTAAACCTTGGAGAGGTGCGAGTTGCCTTGTTGTTTTGGTGACTGGCTGGTGGGGCACCCTGAAATAGCTGAAGAGCAATGATACTTTGTTTTAAAGTGCTTGTTTTTCCCTGGGTCAAATACCTTTAACATACTTAAAAAAATGCAGTGTGGCCTTGAGCTGGTGCTGTATTTTTGTGCTTTAAATGAAAAGCTTGATTTAGTGAAATTGGATCAAAAAGATCCAGGTTAATAAAGAAATAAATAATTGTTCCAACCTCTCACCTGTGAGCTCTGGCTTGCAGGAGAGTTTCATAGGTGTGTTTTGTAGATGTGCTTTGAGTCTGTGCATGAAACCCTGAAGGCTTTTAATGACTGATATTTGAGTGCAGCATCTTGTGCTGTAGGCTGAGATCCTGCTGTGGAATAAGAAGAACCTCACTAATGCAGGAAAAGCCTGTCTAGGAGCAAATATCAGTTGGGGCTTTTTTTTTTTTTTTTTTTTTTTTTTTAGGAATAGCTTCCCAGTACAGTCAGGTAATGTTGTATGAACACAAGTGCCTCATGCTGCTTGTGAGGCTGATGTGAATTTGAAGTGCAGTTGTGTTCAGAGGCAAAAAAGTTTTTACTTGAGCTGGCTGTGAGAAAGCAGCTTAGGGATGGAGTTCTTAACAGAGGAGTTGTGGTTCCCTGTGTCTGTGTGCAGGTGCCTTTTTAGAGGCAGAGCTGGTTTTTTCTCTTCAGCTGAAAATTGGCTGTGTGGAGATATGGGAGCCAGATTTTAGGTACTGAAAGTCTCTGTACAGGAGCTGGGCTGCTCCTCTCCATGGGTTTTGCCATGCCCAGTTCTCCACCTCATCCAAATAGTCTGAGCTGTGCAGGGCTGGTCCTTCCCAGCAGTGAAGGTGAAACATCTTCCAGCCCAGACCATTCAAGAGAAACTCATGAGGCTTGTTCCTGGAGGTGCTGGGAGAACAGAATTGCTGTTGTGCTCAGTCAGCCTGAGCTTTACTGATGCCTTGGAAGAACAATATCCCCTCTTCTGCCACGATGTGCTTTTATCTCCACTGTCAGGGGGTTGCAGCTCAAGGGGTTGGGGACCTTGCTTATGTCCCTGAAGTAACCAAGGATTGGGAACATCTCATCCCCTAACTGACCACAAATCCAGTGGGATCAGCTGCCCTGGGGCTCCTGTGATTCTGTTCTGCTGAAATCACTGGTGGCTGCTACGAAAATCAGTGAGAATAAACTTCATTGCTGGGAGCTTCTGGCCAGAGCAGGAATTTAATCAGTTTTGTAACCACAGGCGGTGTAAAGGAGCATTTATGAGATGGCTCCATGGAGAGCTGGGAGTTCCTGGTTGGTCCCAGGCTGTGACGTTGTGCAGTGTGTCCTCCAGGTATGGCCACCACACCCTGAGATCTGGCACTTGGCACAGCTCTGGAGCAGCTCCTCAGGGAGAATGGGGCACCTGGGGTTGTCAGCAAGGGGAGGAAAAAAGCAGATTTTCAAAGCTGCTGCTACCAGGACAGGGTTTGTCACAAACTGCAGGAGGTGTTGAGCTTTAACCAGGTGAAAGGACCTGTGGTGGTGGAGGCACAGGAATAGAAACAGCAGGAAGTTGCTGAAAATCAACAAAATGGGAAATTGAGTGTGATGCTGACAGCTGAGAATCATTAGAATTTATCTGTTCATCTTCTAAATAACATTTCTCCAGCTCTCTGTTCTGGCCCTGTTTTCCCCTAGAGGTTTATTCCAGATTACTGGAATAGTATCCAAGAAGGTGAGAGGCCAGGCTGTGTCCAGGATTTGGACACAGAGGTTGAACAGAAATCAGTGGCTGCACAAGTTAGCAGTTCAGATTCAGTCTGGATGGAGAGCAAACTGCAAAGCCTCTCCAGCTCCTAAAAGAATTGCTGGATTTTCTTTCTGAGTTCTTCTGGCTGTGGTGAAGGTCAGTGCCTTGTTGCCAGAGCAGCAGAGGACCCAGGTCACAGGGGGATCAGGACAAGCCTGTCCTGGTGAAAACCTTTCCTGGATTTTGCAGCAGGCCCACAGCTGGAGGCTGCAGAGGATTGGATTCCCTCAGTGTCCATGGGAGCAGCCAGGGTTAGGCTGGACCTGGCTGGCTCTGCCCTCATTCTGCTCTCTGCATTTCTAGGCACAGCTGGCAGTTCACAGCTTGCTCTGCTTCCAGGGGTTTGTCCACCCTGGGAAAGCTCCAGTGGCTCTACTTTGGGTTAATAGCTGAAAGGATTTTGGGTGAACAGTCAAATCCCACGGCAGAGAAAGGAGCACAATTCCGTGTGTCCTTTCCCTCAAATGTAGGAGCTGAGGGGCAGAAAGGTTGCTCTGATCAGTTGTTTAAATGATGTTGTGACTGGAGGAGGGAAAAGGCTTTTGGGAAGATATTACATAGCAGTATCTTCCTCCTAAAGTGAAACAGCTTTTTCTCCTAAAGAGAAAAGTTCAGGGGCTGGTGCTGATCCTTACCACACTTTATCTCACCTGGACAAGCCTCTGCTTTGAGGGGACCTCAGCTGGCTTCAGTCCCTGGGCTAACAAGTTTGGTGTTTGCGGCTCTTTCATTATCTTAGCTTTTTTTAGTCATTATATTAGCTCTTTCATTATTTTATCTATTTCAGTGATGAAGACAGGGCAGTGCCATCATTCAGCCAGTCTTAGTTTTTAGGAAAAGCCTGAAGACAGCTTTTCCTGAAGGTGTTTCACCATACATGGATATAGATAAGCTCTACATAAACATTCACAGAGGTATCACAGTGTAACCCTTACACGCTTACATATCCTGGATACAGAATGGCTGTCAGTATGTCCCAAGCCCAAGGCAGCAGTTCTTTATACAGAAGGAGAAATTCCAGCTGGCCCTGGAAATGTGTTGCTGCCCAGAAAACCCAAGGAACTGGGTTTTCCTCATCGGAAGAAAAATACTTCCTCACTTCCCTCTGCTCTTGTCTGTATGGACAGACTCATTCCTTGCTGTTCATTCTTTTTGCACATTGCAAACACTTGCATAATTCTGGAATAAAGCAGTCACCATTTCACCTCTGTGTTGGGAAGCATTTTTCTGCTCAGAAACCACCAGAAATGTGTGGTACCTCTGTCCCTCCCTCCCTCTTCACCCCATTGCATCCCCCACAGTTGTCTCTGGGCTCACAAAACTTTTTCTAATAGAAGCAGCATCCTTAATTCTACATTCTACAGTAAAGCAAATCAGTTTAAAAATCCATTGTTTCTTCCCACAGCCCTGCTTTTGGTAATCATCCCAAAAGTTTGGTGTATTTCTTTCTTCAGTGTGAGAGCACTGCACTGGGGGGGAGCAGGACTGTGGAAGCAGTTTGTGCCCTGATTGTCACCAGTGTCAGGTGCTTTATTACAGGAAGGAAATCTAAATGTGACTCATTTTGAAAATAAGGTACAGAAGGCAAATAAAAAAAAATTTCAGTTCCATTTTTTGTTTTGTGGACTGAAATGTATTTATGCTGCTCATGGCCCTCAGAACCTGCTGCAGGCCTTGTGCTATGTTTTTGTTCAGCACCAAAATTGCTGGTTTTCCACCAAAGCAGTGAAAAAATAAGTTCTGAGAAATGTGAGCTCATCTGAAATGAAGCTTAAAACATTTTTCTTTGCTGCCTTGTCCCCACCCTCCCTGACACCCTCAGACAAGAGAGGGAGGAGTGGTTGCCTTCTCTATTCTTCTGAAGGAACTGTCTGGGGTTCTCCTGATGTGGTGATGTGGGCTCGAGGTGTGGCTGTTGAGGTTTCCCTGTGGGTGGGAAAGCCCTTGCTTGGGGCTGCCTGTGGAGTCTCGAATATTGCACACATGGCAGTTTGCTTTTAATTCCAGACCTTCTCCACTTT